CCTCTCATCGACTGCGTCCCCCGTTTCCTCTTTGAGATAGGCGAACATGTTCTCCGGGGTATCGTGGCCGTAGCCGGCTTCTTTTTGTTGTCGCGTGCCTCCGCCGGCGTAGACTACACCTCCTGATAGCGCGGACGCTCCACCGCCGTGGGCATCGTCCAGGAGAAGGACCTTGGCGCCTTTTTCTGCGGCTGCGATGCTTGTGCAGACTCCGGCGATGCCAGCACCGACGACAATTATGTCATGTTGCTGGCTGGATTCTACTGAATAGGTGGTGTGAAAGCAACGTGTCTTGTGGTTGCATATGGTAGCTACTCTGAGGTGCGCTAAGTGGTGGCGGGTAGTGAACGACGTTGCGCGTGAGGTAAGCATCGCAGAGGCTATTGTTCAACGTCAACAACAAGAACAAGATCACCGGGGCGCCTGAATGAGAGACATGGTAGCCTTAAGTAAACCGCACATGTTGACATGCAAGCGTGATGCGCTCGCTTAAGTATAGTTTGCTTCCCGATTGGGGTTTTCGGCTTACATGTTTGCCCAACAGATCTGGTGGCACGTACATTGCCTAACAGGTAATATATCTGCTACCTTAACCCAATCCGACGCGAAACATTGTTGGGTCAAGCTATAAGTTCGGTGCGTTAAAGACCGTGGCGTCTGGTGATGTTCAAAGCATCGTGCCGGACGCCGCTTATCATTCCGACCAACCGCGGCACGCGTGGATTCCGCGGGAAGATCGTCGGAGCATGCCACAGCGTCGGAGAGTGCCAAGTCTTGAAGTGCCGAAATCCTCTTATTCGGATTGAATGCAACGCTACAAGTCACATCACGGAAACCGATATGAAGCCTCTTTCGTCGGATTCTTCACGAAGATACCAAGATGGTCGAATCTCTATTCCCTCAAGTAACCTGTTTGACGCCATACTCCTAGCCACCTCTCAATCATATCCACCTCAATCCGCCTTCCGTTCCTTACGGTACCCGCATCGAATTCCACACCCTCGCCATTTCCATTGCCTTCAGCCATGGATTGGAAGAAGCCTAGGAGTTTCAGAGCTGGTAGCTCCTTCACACCCAAGCTCTGTGATTCTGCAGTCGCTTCTAACCTAATCACCCATTTTCTCATACTAATGCGTTGAATCTTCCGTCCGCAGGCCTCTTCCAGCATATCAAGCAGCTGCTCCCATGAGATAGCGCTCGGGTTGACAAGATTACACACAGCATACGACGTCTCGGCAGTGTTGTGAATCACTGCATTGCTGATGGCTTCAGCACAGAAGTCGACGGGCAGCCAGTCGACGTTTGTCTGTAAGCCCGGCATCGCATCAAGGTGATTCAGTCCAGCCATCATCATGGTGGGCCACATCTCGGTATGGTTCCATGCCCCTAGCCTCGAATGACCACAAAGCTGGCCGACTCGGAGGATGCGAACAGGGACATTGTGAGTAGAGGCATAGTGCTGCGTGACTTGCTCGATGATGAACTTGGACTGCGCGTATCCGGTGGGAAGCGTATTTGCAGGATCCGGGGAGAGTGGAAGCTCTGGCACTTTGGTGCCGGCGGGGCTTCCCATTGCTGCGGCGACGCTGCTCATGAAGTTGAATGTCTTCTTGAGCCCCTTGAGGCAGAAAGACATGAGATGCATGGTTCCTAACCAGGTATTCGTTAGCTCAGAAGCTTCATGTCGGCATACTTAACCTGGGCTTCACCTCTCAGGCAGTCGTCTTCGAACTGTTGAATTGGCTGATTGAAATCCAACTTCCAAGCGTTGTGCATCACAGTGGTCACCTCATTCGCCAGACGTTGATACATCCGCTCGTCCAATCCTAGCTTTCCGTCCTTCATGTCATAGCTGACGGGTACAATCTTCTCGCTTTGGTGAATGATCGCAGGATACCCTCTCTCTTTCATAGAGCCCCAGACGCGAGCTTGAGGATCTGCTCCTCGTACGGCGCAGTAAATTTTTTGAACAGTTCCCATCTGGACCAGGGCTTCCAATAGTGCATTGCCCAGGGCACCGCTGGCTCCCGTGAGATATATCACTTCTCCCTCGTTTTCCAAATCTTCCTGTTGAGCTTGATTGACTTGCAAGTTGTCGATCTCAATGTTCATGCGGCGGATGGTTGACCTGATCCACTCATAGTGGTTGCCGGCCGCCGAGGCATTGCTATTAAGACCACCTTTGAATAGCTGAAGGAACTCGAGAAGCTTCCTTGCCGTAGGATATTCGAAGATGAACATCAAAGGGAACGCCCCGAACGACTTCACAAGTCTCGATCGTATCTCGACGGCGCGCATAGAATCGAGACCGAGTTCGTACCAGTTTTGGTCTGGCGCCAAATCTTCCACAGAGAGATCGAATACATCAGCGACAACGGTTTGAACGATTTCGAGATCCGAAGTACCGGAGTTTCTGGAAGGAAACGGCTTGGAGGCCTTATCAGACTCGAGCTGGTTGCCTAGGAAGGAGTTGTAAAGTTCTTCCACCCTATCTCCATACAGATCCCAGGCAATTGTCCGCCGCACGTTCCCTTTTGGAGTGACTGGCAACGTCTCCTCATTTTGCAGAATGAGAACCGTTTGACGAGGGATTCGTGAGTACGTCGGAGAATTCCTGTTGCAGATATCCACTACTTTCCATACCTCTTCAGCAAGATCAGGTTCTGATATGGATCGCTTCTCCACCTCAGACCAGTCGATCTCAACAACGACGGAAGGGCAAGGCTTTCCTGTACCAAACACTGCCGTCTTCGCAATAGTGCCCGTCTTATCTTCTTCAAGCGCCATGGCGAGAGCCGCGGCATGTGTCTTCTCTCCATTGCTGTGCACGAGAATGTCATCTCTGCGGCCTTGGAGGACGAAATACCCGCTCCCTGGGGGATCCTCGATGAACAAATCCCCCGTACGGTATGGATTCGGGGCCGTCTCCTCAAGCCAGAGCTCTGCGGCTAGAGGAAACCCTCGATATACAACGCACTCAAAGAGGTTATCCGCAATGGACTCCATGCCTACATGTTCTGAGTCTGGGTACAAGTTGCGGAAGCGGTACACGTCTGGATTGTCTCTTGTGTGAGGTATTGTCCGAAGAGGCGGACCGGTTTCAGTTGTACCATATGTTGTTTTAATATTGACGCCGATGTTCTGAAGTTTGGACAGCATTGAAGGGGACAGTGGAGCTCCGCCGGGCTGTAGGACCTTCAAGTCCGTCAGAGAAGTGTAGTCTTTGGTGGTGAGAGTGATGTATTCGTAGAGGTCCTCAATGACTGAGGGTGCGCAGTGCAGGCAGTCGGGCGGATAGCCGAGGCTAGTCAAGGACTTCCATGCAGAAAGTATTGAACTTGGGGCCGGTGGCCATTGTGTTGGAGGTAAGGAGGTAGGTAGACCGGTTGGGAGTCCCGACAGGGCTATTGACAACCCAGCTACGTGGAATCTAAGATGAATGAGCATGCGCAGGAGGAACAGCAAGGAGATTCTAGGTCTCACAAGGGAAAACACAGATACCAGTTCTCAATGAAGAACTCTGGGAGTAATCTGTACATCCGTGCAATTTGACACAGACTCCGATTCGTGTGGATAATTGGTTTCGGCACTCCCGTAGAACCAGACGAGTGGATGATCATTGACTGGAGAGTCCACTCATCATCAGTCTCAAACCCTATGCAGGGTTCTTCAAAAGCCTCTGGTTTGTTTTCTCTCAGCTCATCTAAGCTGATGAGTTTCGTCAACGGGAGTTGACCCGGGCTTTCCCCATGGAGTGAAGCTTCATTCGCCTCGTCGATGATTATTGCAATAACATTGCACACTCGAAGAAGATGATCTCTCGTTGCCAGAGAGTTCTTGTTGCTAAGAAGTAGGACCCGAAGGTGCAGACGATTTAGGGCGAATTGGGTGATGAGATACGAGATCGAGTTGCCGACGCCGAGGAGAGCGACAGTGGGTTGCTGACCCGTTTCATTGGCAGCACCGATTTCCTCCCGAAACTGCTTAGAGTAGAAACTCGATGCTCTGAGGTAAAACTGATTGAGCCGGGCCCAGTCTAGCACTTCGAAGGAGTCACCGATAGGATGTATGAAAGCCGGCTTGGAGGGTTGAGTTGCGGCATTATGCTCAACCAATGCCGCGACACTCGTCAATTTCGGGTCAGAGAATCTGAAAATTCAGTGTTAGAGTCATTGGAACTTCAAATCATAATAGAAACGAGGGTATTTGGGACCTTGAGCTATGAGGATGTCCGTGGAGTTGCCATAATTTCTTCAACTGCTCGTCGGCATCTAGCGCAGGGAAAACGGTCGGGTCGACGGCAGCAATTGATGAGGGTGACATCAGGTCAGACATCGCAATCGGTGCCATCTTGCCAAGGGCGACACGAAGGGAGGCCTTCAATGTTGTCTTGACTCTCTGAAGCTGATTTTCAGTCAGTCAAGCTCCTTTCATCGATATCCAATTAGTATCACACTTCTACCGCGGACCACGGGAGAATCGATTGACAATATTGTTATGAATCGTCACTCAAGATCAATCCTATCGAGTCAAGTAATCTCTCTACAACTTGAACTATGCTGACGCCGATCAGCTGATTAGATTATGCAACGCCTATCATAGGTAGTCCTTGTTGGAGTAACGCAACATCAGAAAAGGATAGGCCAATGATATCCCCGATAATCGGTCTGATAACAACCCACGCCTATCGCGTGCCTATCACAAACATTATGGGCGTGGTACGCATCCGGAAACCGCACGACCATGGCGCTCGGCAACGACGATAGCAGGATAGCTGAAAGGGAATCTGATAAGCCTCGTCTTAGAAACGAGACCGGATGCGCAACAACGTAAAAATAATTAGACATCGTTTATTCCCGCTCCCCGCACGCAGCATTGGCAACTCCAATTGTGCCATTGATCGCCCTGACCTTCCCTTTTCTCCTAAAGGTGAAGCCCACGTATAGGTAGTTGAGACTCGAGAACTTACTGCGGTTACACGCATAGCAGTCGCTACAACGATGGGTCTACGGAAGCGCTTGGAGCTCCGCTCCGAGAGCGCCGACCTCGGCACGGAGGGAGGCCGGCTCTCGAACAAGGACATGGATCCTATTCCGATGGGCTCTCCGGAGCGCACCTGGGGTTGGCCGAGTTTGCTCGGATTCTGGATCGCCGAAGCCTTTTCCATCTCGATGTATCAAGGTAAGTGTTCACATAGGTAGTCCGGAAACAAATTGGTGACTCGAGATGGCTACTAACATCCGTTCTCAATCACAACAGTCTCTTCAACCTCTGTCACAAAAGGCCTGAACCCGGGCCTTGCAATCCTTGCAGTGTTCATCGGCCACGTCCTGGTCTGCATCCCGGCAATGCTAGATGGCTACGTCGGCTGCATCTTTGGCATCAACTTTCCCGTCTTCACCAGAGCTTCCTTTGGCCTCCGGGGTTCATATGGCGCCGTCTTCGTCCGTGGTGTCGTGGCTTGTATCTGGTTCGGCACTCAGTCGTTTCAGGGTGGGCAGTGCCTGCAGGTCATGATCTCCGCCATCTGGCCGTCATTCAACAACTTCCCGAATCACCTCGCCGAAAGCGCGCACGTCACCAGCTCCGAGCTGTTATGCTTTTTCTTGTTCATCATCGTTCAGCTGCCACTGCTCTGGTTGCATGTGAGCAGTCTAAGGTACATGTTCATGGTGAAGACTGTGATTATGCCAATCTTTGGGTTGACGTTGTTCATCTGGGCCATTGTTGCTGGTATGCTCTTCACATCCAGCCAGATCCAAGGGCAACTTATCTGACCTCTTCTCAGGCAAGGGTTTCGGCCCGACATTCTCAAAACCAACTCTCATTAAGGATGGCACGCCCGCTATTGTCGTATTCTTCCAATGTGTCACCAGCGCTATTGGCCCCAAGGCAACCCTCGCCCTCAACATGCCCGACTTCACGCGGTATGCAAAGGAGCCCCGACAGGTCTTCTGGACGCAAGCCGTCGGCCTATGCGTTTTAGTCACGATGTGTGGTGTGCTAGGTGCGACCGTCAGCAGCGCCTCGGAAGTCATCTACGGCAAGGTGACCTGGAACCCCCTGGAAGTCGCACGGCTGTGGGACAACCGCGCTGCTCAGTTCTTCGCGGGTCTCTGTTGGGCGTTTGCGGTGATTGGCACAAACATCAGTGCCAACAGCGTCTCTTTCAGCAATGATTTGGCGCTATGGTTTCCAAAGTATATCAACAATAGGCGCGGAGCATATATCTGTGCCGTGTTTGGCGTATGTGCCGTGCCCTGGTACATCCAGTACAGGTGAGTTGTGTTTGTGTGTTGTCCGATGGTCGATCTTTTGTACTAACCTGTGGACTTCCTCGCAGTGCTAAATCCTTCTCCTCTTTCCTTGGTGGATACTCTCTCTTTCTGGGCGCCATTGCAGGCATCATCATCACCGACTTTTGGATCTGCCGCAAGCGTGCAATGGCAGTCTCGTCCCTCTTTGATCCGCGAGGCATACACTACTACACTTTTGGCGTCAACCCCCGAGCGGTTATCGCCTTCATCTTTGCCATCATTCCCAACATGCCCGGTCTTGCCGCTGCTTGTGGCGCCAAGGGAGTTCCCAAGGGGGCCATTTATCTCTACAGCTTGAGTTGGGTTGTCAGTACCTTGGTGGCTAGTTTCACGTATTGGGTGTGTTGGAAAATTAAGCCATTCCCCGTGGACGATAGCCGGGAGCTGTTGTATGTTGACGGATACCCCACGGTGGAGGATTCGAACGGGTCAGAGAAAGGCTTGGAAGGGAAAGACCAAGACGTGAAGACGGGATGAAGTGATCTTAGACTCATAATACCATACCCTGACGCTAGATAAGTACACGTTATCATTTAATTTATTTGGAACCACATGCTATGAGCTTAAGGCCCGGCCTACTTCCCTGTGGTTCTCGCGGGAATGGTTCACGGGCTTGGATGTGAATCATGCATGCAAGTTAGCCCATCTCACAAACCCCGGTTCGAGACTGCCTCAGCTGCCGCGGGTGTCAATTCAATGAGCTTGCCCAGCCCAGCCACGAAGATGGCATCAAGTCTCAGCAGGCTCAAGTTCAATAAGTCGCAGCTTCTCGACTTGATCCGCAATAAGCCCCTCCACTGAATCAAAAGAGCAAGGGCGTCTTCAGCTTCCGATAGCGTCGGAGAGAGAGCAAACAGCAAGACAATAAAGTTGCTCGCAATGGCAAAGTTGACACGGGAATCTAGCCATGGTCAGCTATCTGGCGAATACTTCCGGGGAAAGCACGCTTCTCGTGTGGGAGGCTGGGGCAACGCTTACATGAATGCCAGAAAGCTTCAAGATGATGAGCCTCCAGTTTCGCGAGAAAGTCATGCATCTCTCGCGCGATAGTCATTGAGCCGGTGCGCAACGCCATGCGGGCTTCGGTTGGGACCTCGATGCTTTTCGGTCGAAGAAGGGCCTTGAAGACAGCAATCTTTGCGGTGATGTAGGCGAGTTTCAGACTACCATTCCCATCTAGGCCGCATTCTGGCAGAGATGCTGAGGGCTGTTCCCCTACGTCGGGTCGGATTTGCAGCCACTCTGCAAGCTCAATCCTCAAGGGCCGAGCAACCTCGAAAGTTGCTTCGAGCGACTTGGAGAGAGCTCTAGTGGCTTTGATAGAGCTACGACGGTCAATGAGCACCAATATCAGAGCAGTGACGCTGTATTGGGATGCAACTTACAACATGTTTTGTTGAATCTTGGACACAACCTCAGTTAGAGAGGCTAGGCGCAAAAAGTGCCTGCACACCAAGGGCCCTTCGCCTTCACAACCAGGAACATCGCCAAAATCATCCGGCCCAAGCGAGGAGACGTCCCAATCGCACTCCTGAATGTGCGAACTTCTGCCAAAGTTAAGGCTCAGCCACCTGTCCTGAACATACACCGCCCAAGCAAGCCTCCGCCGCAATCTCTTCTCCCAGCTCGGAATCGCCCAATCCGATGGGTCCAGATTGAGTCCCAAACACTGCGCGAGCGCCACCGTGTCTGCGAGCATGGTCCATTTGAACGGCGTGTCGGCGACGTGCTTGTTAGTTGGCCGTCGCTGAATCATGAGAAGCATCGTTTGCACCGTGGCGAGAGATGGAGTATGGAACTCGGATAGGGCGGCCATCCAGGCAAGTTTGAAGAGGTGGTCTGCCGAGGGGAGGGTGTCGACGTCTACACAGAGGATGTCGTCGAATACGCAGAAGGGGAGGGCGTGGCCATAGATTGCTGCCAGGAGACATATTGGCATTGCGGAGGGGCTGCCGTTAAGATTTTGGATTGTGTGTTCTTTGGATACGACCGGGAAGTAAGGTTGAACATACTTCCAGAAACTGCCACCAGTCAGTTGGAACTTCATTCTGAACTCAGGCATATTCGAGTGAGTATAAGAGGGTCTGGCCAATTCCTTACAGAGTGATGAGCCTTTGACCAACATTCTCAGAGACCAAGTCCGAGACCTCGCATCTAAGGTCGGCCGCGGTAGCTCCCAGCCCTCCTGGTTGCGCTTTACTAGCTTGTGAGTTGCGCTGTAGCATAAACTGAATGGGAACCCCATCTTCAGGCCCCATATTCCTGATGCGGAGTTGCTGAAACGTGCATTCGTCTCTCTCGTCGAAGTGGTACAGATTTAGCAAGTACGGATCCGATTCACCGCTGAGACCTATCACCTGAGCATTGTGACCAGGCTCCGCGTCCAGCGACGACGGTACGAAGACAATGTCTCGACGTGGAACATCTGGTGAAGACGTTGTGTGTGGTGATGTCGGGCTCGCAGAGTCCATCAGCCCTCTCACAAAGATGGAATCGGCAATGGGCGAAACCTCCACGGACGGAAACCTCCCATCTGCTCCAGGGGCAGCTCCGTCCTGTTGGTGACGGGGGCTCCGTATCCCATCGCTCGAGCCGCTTTGCCGCCGCTCGGATAGCCGTCTCCTCTTGTTAGGGCCCCCAACAAATGTGCACTCTTTGCCTAACCGTCGGCAGAGCTCACATGGTGGCGTGTCTTCGTGCACAAGGCAAGCGGCGCGCTTGTAACGGCAAAAGTCGCAAGGATGACTGTTCCTACTACTCTTTTTGGTCTGGCCGTTCAAGTTGATCTCCATGGTGTGGATTCAAAGATGGAAAGCATGTTAGGAAACTTGATGTCGTTACGGACTTCATTCCCCGCGTCCTCCCCAGGATTCCATGTTGGTTGAGACTCTGAGTTGATCTGCAAACTATCGGACTCTGATAACGGGGCGTTGGCCGATTGGATCATTAGCAAAACAACCCTGCATTTCGATAGCAACAAGCTCCATGGTGTGAGAGTGATAAAGCTTCGGCTGATATTTATTCCATCTAAGCTCATGTTGTTATTCCCGCGGCCAACTAAGGAAACTAGATCCAATCCTGTCCTCTCGCCTTTCGTCCGTCACCGGAGCTCTTGTAGACGCCCCTCTTGGCCGTGGCACCGCCCATTCTAACTAATCCAACTAGGTGATGCACCCCAGCCAATACGCCGTCAACAACCTGCACGCCGTCCCCGACAGCCGCCTCTACGGCCCCCTTGAGCGGCGTCATACCCGCGCATCCCAGAAGCAACAAATCGGCCCCCTTTTCCTCCACCAGCTTCTTCCCGACGGCTGCCATGATTCCCATGACCTCATCCTGGCTCTTCTCGTGCAAGTCCAGCACGCCCAGCTTACACGAGACCACGCCGGCGCAGGAGGCTGAGAAGCCATAGTGGTAAATGCTATCCTCGTGCAACACCCTCGACCGCTCGCTCACGGCAATGAGCCCAAACCGCCCGCCCAGCGTTCGCGCCGCGAAGAGCGAGGCTTCCATGATCCCGATGACGGGCTGGCGAGGGAGTTCTTCGCGAAGCATGCGGATGAGGGCATGGTCGGAGTAGCACGCCACCAAGACGGCATCATGGGTCGCCGCAAGGGGCAGGACGGCGCGAGCGGCGGCCGCGGCAGACATAACGTTGTCAAAACTGCCTTCGATGGCTGAGGGCGCCGGCCTAGGCGCCGTGAAGCCTGTGACGAGGACGTCGGGGGGTAATTGGCTCTCGACCATGGCGACGCAGGCGTCGGTCATGGCGCGGGTGCTATTTGGGTTGATGAGGAGGATGCGGATCTTCTTCTGAGTCTGTCCAGGCGTGATGCCGTTACTTACTGCTCCGTTGTGTTTCTCGGCTAAGGGCGAGAGCTTGGGAGGCTCCACGACGCCGGTTTGTTCTGTGATGCGAGCATAATGCTCTACACGACGATGTCTGGCAAAGTCAAATGTGCGCTCCTTGCCCGGCCGGCACTCAGCCAGGTCAATTTCTGCATAGACGACCTCGTCCTCTGTTGTAGATGCCTCAGCGATGAGCTCGCCCTCCGGACCAGTGATGCAGCTACCGCCAATGAGGTCGTACTTCCCGTCATCGAGACCACACCTCGCAGCGCTGATGCTGAAGCAGGCATTCGTGTAGCTATGAGCCTGCATCACCAACTTGTGGTGGAAGAGTGCCTTGCTCCGCGCCTCGTCCGGATCCATGCTGGCGCTGGTTCCCCAGAGATGCGGCGCGAAGCCGGCCGTGTTGTAGCCGCACAGTACGACCTCGACGCCCTGTAGACCCAAGACACGCCAGCTCTCAGCCCATCTCCTGTCGTTGCAGATCATCATGCCGAAGATGGGGTCCCCGCGCTCCGGTGCCGCCTCCGGCTCTGTCAGATCGGGTACCCGGAACGCATTGAAGCCGAGGTCTCCAGGCTTGAAGTAACGCTTCTCTAGCTGGTTCGTGGCATCCGGGTCCGCAAAGGGCTCAAAGTCGCCCGGAAGATGGTTCTTGCGGTACTTTGAGAGGATGGAGCCGCTCTTTGCGTGGTAGTAGATGCAGGAGTTGAAGGTTTCGCCGTTGTCGGCCTTTTCGGCAAAGCCGACCGAGATGTCGACGCCCAGCTCGTTGGCCTTATCGAATAGCGGTTTTGTCTGCGGCTGAGTCGCTACATCGCCGTGCTCGAAGAAGGAGTCAAGTTCAGAGGGGCCGTTTATCAGATGCCGGGGAAAGAAGGTTGTGAAGGCGGCTTCAGGGAAGAGAACTAGCTGTGCTCCCTTTGCGGCTGCGTCTTCAAGAAGTGATAGCATGCGATTCAGTGTCTTGGGCCGGGGGTCGTTGTAATGCGTTGCGCCCATCTGAGCCGCAGCCACGCGAAGCTTCCGTGATAGCATTGCCGCTGACTTCATGTTTTTCTTGTGCAGTTGTTAAGTTGCTATGTTCTCACATTCCCTCTTTTCACTGCCGCTATGCAAACTTCAGTCCAAACTTATTCTTTTCGCCATGAGAAGTCGCTGAGCTCTTCTCCGAATCTCCCACAAAGTAGTGCTGGGTCTACCCCTCATGCATTGAGATCAGCGTGCAGTGCTCCGTATCGTCCGTCCTATTCCCTGCAGCTCCATAAGGTAGGGTAGTCTAAGTTGTGGGCGATAAGCGCCGATAGGCCGTCGGGTAGTTTGCCGTGGCTGCCTATCTTTATCTCAGATAGGCCTATTTATTCTTCGCAGGAACAGCGTTATCAAGTCTACAGCCAGTGTAGATGTCGTTAATGACTCTGTAGATACTCCATATGGTGTCAAGGGAAACTCGAGGACAGATTGAAAAAACTCTACGAATTACCGAAGCGAAGTTTGTTGTTGGTTGAGTGCCTCAAAAATCGCTTTTAGCATACTGAGACTCTTCTGCTGTCATAGCACACTAAGGTAAAGCGACATGGAGGTTGATCTCATCATTGAGAATGCCACAGTGGTGAGTACTACATGAA